AAATCAGTACCATTGCCAGGTTCCACTTCTAAGTTAAGATAATATAGCCCATCAGTTAGCAGACATGTAGTGATTTGAAAGAAACTGGAAAACAGCAATAGACAACTTGACATTTCACTTTATTAAACTTGGAATTGAAGGAGATGGAGATAGCTAAAGTGTGATCAAGAGAATCAAAAGTGCAAACTTACTCATTTAGCTGCATGAAGACAACAATGCTTATCATATATTACAAACTCATATTTCCAATCATGTTATGAATTCTCCACATATGACCACTCTCTTGCTTTTAGTATGCATCCCATAGCTTGTAAGAAAATCTTGGAATCTACTTTTCTCAGAAGATTTCTGAAGTTTGCAAATGTTGATTTACAGTGATATTTATTCATATGCCTGTTCTTTTTTTTTTTTTTTCATGTTAAATTTCTTTATTTTCCTACTAAGATATTTCATTTCACTTGTCACAGCAGTTCGATTTAAAGCATTCCCTTTCCTCTGGATACGATTCTAATCGACAGCTTTCGTTTGTTCATTAGGCTGATATTATTATTGATACATAAGCTAAGAAACCTTTTTATTAATCCAGCTTATAAATTTCCACTCAGCAATTACTTACTAGAAAGTTAAAGCTCATTGGAACTATGGGCATGGATACCTTAGTTTTTCAACCAGACAATACATGGGTTAAGCAAACTGAACAAATTCTACCTTCCTTGTATAATAATAGTAATTAGTGATAAAACATTGGATTGTTACTAAAGCAACAGAAATTCTCTGATGTTATTCAAAAGTTCAGCTTAGCTTGAATTTTGTGTTGTTCTTCTGATAAGAAAGGACAGAGACATGAATTTTAAAATTTCACGTGTATGATAGAAGCATTAGATTCGGGGAATCACTGAGAAAATTCTCTGTAAAAGTCAACGTACTTTCATATCACATAATTGACACTTTTATGGACCTGGACCAAATTTGTAGTAGAAGGATTAACTTGATAGCTTGAAGGAAGCTTATTTCAGTTTGAATGCAAATAGCTATTTATAAAAAGTAAAAGTTAACATCAAATAAATAAACAAGTAACCTTACCATTAGTACTGTTGCTTTAACTGACTTCTTTCTCATGATTGTTCCCTCTTGGTGCTTACCCATGATGATTATACTGGGCGTGACAGAAAAGTCCTTGAATTCTTTCCCTGATTATTTCTACCTCACTGCACCAGTCCTTAAGTGGACTCAAAATCGAGCTACTTTTCCATAGACATTGGCTGCCAAACTTGCCTTCCACCTCTCTCTCAGTCCTCTGTTTCAAAGAATTGTATACTAGACAGATTCAGGGAGGAACAAACCAGAAAACCAGTTAGTTTATGAAGAAGATATCTCACCAGAAAGGAAACATCACCCAAACAAAGCCACTAGTAAGTAGATAAGTTTCTTAACTTCATTCAGAAAAATCAATAAAGAATGTGAAAAGAGTCTCTGCCTCTTGAAGCCTATAAAGTCCGTAGTGTTATTCAGGAAAGTGAACATTAAAATTCATTACCTTTTCCGCGCAGCACTAAAGAATCTTTTATCACTCTAATGCTTTGATCTTAACACTATTTGACATTCTTATAATGCCTTTGAAACTTGATCCTTCACAGCCTAGATTTGCATAGTTTAATGCTTTTTAGAATACACCAACAAAGAAGAAGAAAATAAAAGCTTTCCCATGAATATTGGAAATCAGTGCCACGTTTCTGAGCAACTTACTTGCCATGCAACTTGGATGCCCTATAGACTAAGGCTATACTTGGATCAAATGAAGTTTGTTTGTGGAATTTAATAAAGTGAAGATCATTCATAAAAGGAACCGAGATAAGAAATTTCATATTATACCATCGAAATTGAAATTTAAAATATGTCTCAATTGCAGCTGAAATTGTTTAGAACTCAATTTTCATCGTTTTGTGACAGATTAATGCTCTTATACTAGTCTATTTCCAAATATCCAAATGAATTTCACAAGTAAAGCTCCAAATATTTCCATAGAAAATATTTTAAATAAACACTAAGCTTAGGCAACAACCATTTGCTTGAAATACCAATGCCCAATGCCCATATAAGCAATCAATGAACTGAAAATGCTGTCAGAAATCGGACTGAATTCAATAAAGAGATGTCACCCTGATGCTAGATTCCAGAAATGATCAAAATATGCTTTAAAGGCTGAAGGTCAAACAACAAGAGTTCAAGGTACCATATGTGTTTTAACAGTGATAATTCCAAATTTTCATGCAACAGAATTTCGAACTCTAATTTCAAAGCTCCAATTCTACCCTGAGAAACGAACGATCAAGAAAAATATGATTACGGGTAATCCGCTGACAGAAACAATCTGGAAAGAACAACAACAAACCAAGGCCACATTTTTTCAGCAATCAAACATTGACCCACAAGAACAGCAAACAAAAACTTGAATTGTTTCATGTTTGTGTTCCAAATCCCAGATGGATTATTCAATTCCAACCACACTGATCAAGATCAAAAGCAACCCAGAAGATTAAAACGCAAAGTGAAGTAAGCCATAGCTAAAAATCAACCATAGTTTTTCACATTGAGCTACTCCGGAAAAAAATTTAAAAAAAATGATGGTTACCTGCAGGGTTAGGCAGTTTGGGAAGAAAGAAGAGAAATGAGGAGTTCCATGGTTTGAGTAGAGAGCTGTGCACGCAGCCAATGGTGAAGTGGAAGTAGGATTTTTTGTATCGTAGTAAACCGGTGTAATTGGGTTTGTGTTGCGGGACACGCTGGAGATTCTTATCCACAAATATTATCAGAAATAGATTTTGGATAAATTTCTGAGGCTGCTAAATGGCTGGTACCAATTTTATTTACAGATTATTTGGAGGAAGAACTCCTGCCACGACGCCTTACTTCTCAAGGTCTAAATTAGGTACGAGATTTTCTGGATGTATATATCGTAGAATTTTCTTTTTCTCCATTTATAATTTTTTTTTTTTTTTACTTGTACTTAAATTATCGTAGATTTTTCTTAAACAGTTTCTTGGAACTTTCATGTTGATTCTGCAGAGATAATATTACATTTTGAGAATAATCTCTCTATTGCAGTCAGTAAGCTCTAAACATATTCTTGATAACATCTATGAAAACCTGGTCATGTAGTAACTCATAATTTATGAACTATAATATAAAATATTTTTTATTCTTCATTAATTAGAGTTTTACAAATTTACTCATTTATAAGAATTTTTTAAATAAAATATACTTTACTATTATGTACATATACAAACATATCATAATCTAATTTTTTTTTTAATGAAAACACATAGAAAAATATAAATCAATTCAAACTCATAAATTTTTTTAAAAATAATAAATATATAGATTATTTAATTAAATATTATTTAAAAAAATTTATAATGGCTTAAAATTAAAACTTTTTCTTACTTTTAAGAAGAGTTTATTATAGTAAATAAAAACATTTATGAGATTAATCTTGAAAATGCAATTTCTTATTTACATTCGGCATACCTCTTAAAAAATAATAAATCTATTGATGCATTGATTTGTTGATTTATTAATTTGATTGTGGATTTTATTAACCAAGTTGGTAGTTTAAATTTTATATACAAAGTATTAAAATTATAATAATTATTGATTAGTTACTATCATAAGCCCAGGAAAAAAGGTAGAGAAATAATCAATTTAAACTAAACACTAAATTTATTTGAAATTATAACATTATTCATTTAAATTTTTATACGGTCATATGTACTGTATTTCTCATTCATATTTTAAGAGATTTATATTCTAATAGTTAATTTAAATTAAACATTAAATCTAATAATTACTTTGTTAGCTCTATCGACAACCTTAAAGATTAAATTTAGAGACACAATTAGATTTTTGTTCTGCCAAATGTGTTTATCTTCATGCATGCACATCAACTTATTTTATTTCTATTTCTAATATGCTACCATTATCATCACTATTACATCTATTATTATTAATATGTATATATTTATCATTATAATAAATATCTATTTATTCATTATTATTATATTTATTATCGTATTAATTTTACTTCTTTTATTTATTTTATTTTATTATTATTATCATTACTACTAATTTTTATTTTTTTTATTTTTTTATTTTTTTTTTGTTGTTGACCTTCGATCAACCGTTACAGATAGAAGGGTTCCTGCATCCTTACCCCAAATCGGTTGGCGGCGACGTGGCTCCTTGAAACCACTGGTTGCGGCGATTCCCGCCCTCGGCTTTCATTGATCTCCTCTCCTTCTCTCTCCTTTCTTCGCTAAATAACGAAATTACGTGTTATTAGTGCCTATGGAAGGTAAAAGAGTAAGGGAAGACATACGACTTACTGCAATCGGGTCCGGCTTTTACTCACAACGCGCATCTCTCCTCCTCAGCTTATAGTGCTCTCGGGTGGATCTACAGTGATATTATATAAAGAAAACGATAGGAAATGAAGAAAAGAAAGAAAATGGTGCTTACCGGCGTTAGTTCAACTTCTGGCAAAGTGGCACTGTCGCTCTCCAGCATATGAGCTTCCTCCAACACCCCATACTTGTCTTCTTCTCTGGTCGACCTGTGGCTAGGGTTTGAGAACCGACTGAAAGGAGGTTTAAATACCTCTCGTCTTTTAATCTGGGTCGTTTGTGCGGGTCCACGTGGTGCGACGATAACTGCCCAATCGCACTTATTTGAAAAACTTATATGGGCTGTCCGATTGGAGACACGAGAGCCGTTTGATCTAGCCTATTCGAAGAATTAATCTCAATCATTTGCGCACGCTGGAGTGGCCCTGAGTCATTCGATCAGCCAGGCACATGGATCATCAGCGTGGCTTCCTGCATGGAGTCTGTGTTAGCGTGTCCGCCACACAGCGTGCGGCGACTCATCGTGC